ACAACGTGCAGACAAGGATCAATCCATATATATTGTGAGGGAGGTTACAAGTATGAAAACTCTTTATTTAACAAAAGGACTAAAAATATCAAAAGATAGATATCCATTCATGTAATCTACAACCATTAATTGATGAGAGCCATACAACTAAAGAGCACCTGAATTTTGCAATCTCTCTCAGTGGGCCGCCTATACCACATCCAACATCCAAAACCTGGTGCAAACTCAAAGCTATGTTTTTATAACATGCGAATGATGAAGTAAAACTTCTGCCTTTGAATTGTATTAAAGAAGACAAACCTTCTGTCCAGGCTTCAAACCCAACTGTAAAGCAAGGAAGTGCTCGTGCCTCTTAATGCTCTCCCGAAAAGACTCACCAGTCAATCTACAAGCTTGGAAGATTAGCTCATTTATATTATTTTAGCAGCACTTAGGATAAAAGCACAGAAGCAATCATAATATGTGAAAACATTATTGTGGAGTGATGTCTGAAAAGTTGGTCTTCCATGACCATTCTCATTGGCCATTAACATGGTCAATTGGCAAAAATCATTCCTTGACCATTCGATAGCTATTCTCTTAAATACACCGTCTAAACTAGAAGGAAAAGAACAGAAAAAGGGGAAAAGACTGCCAAATACTCTGCGGAGGGAATGTTTTCAATCCTACAACATTAGTTTCGTATGATCATGATCTTCATAAAACTTGACTGCAAATTATGTCTAGTTCGATAACATTTCTGTTTCTGTTCCTTCTAGCTATTTTAAGTTCTTAGAAAAACTAATTAACAATGAAAATTTGACGGCTATTGATTTTTCTGAAAACAAAAAATAAAAAACTCTTCTCCCTCTTTGGTGCATTTCTCTCTCTAGTTGTCAAACGGTCAAAATCATCATGGTGGGCCATACGGAGATACGTATTAGTCTCTTGAAAAACATATGCATGGTAACTAATATATCTATTTCTCATTTTTCAATGTCAACAAGTTTCAAAATCTAGTTTCATATTTAATTAGATCATGAGTTAAAGAACATTTAAGATGGTACCATTTCATTCGTGTATTTTAAAAAGTTTTGAGTATAGATTTTAATTTGTGTCTATTTAGTTTAAAGATTTTTAATAAGTTTGAATAGATCCATAAACTTCCACGAACTTTTAATTTCATGTCTAATCAGTTTATGTTGATGTTAACGTCATTAACTTAAATTTTATGCTACATCCATGCTTAAAAAAAATTAAGTTTTTAGAAAAGCATAACTAAAAATATTATTTTATTGTCTTTTATTAAAAAAATGCATAAATCAATAAAGAAAATTCTGAATACAACATTAATTTAGAACATTTTAGTAAAAAGTACATTTTTGTAATCGTTGAGGTTTGAAGTTGGTGTCTTTTTATAGTCCTAAAGGTTTTAAAGTAAATACTTTAGTCAATCCAATTTGAGAAATAGTTTATTTTTAGACAAATATTTTCGATATAAAACTATAATAACTTAAAATTAGAGAAGTAAGACTGAAGAATCATTAAGAAACACTTTTTTACACAGCTTTTCACCTAAGAAAAATGAAAAGGGAGAAAGAAACAACAAAAAAGTACTAAATATTCTTTTTTTCTAAAAAAGAGATATAAAGAAACAATAACATAAAGTTAGAAATAAGGAACAAAATGTTCCCAAACCAACCATTTTAAGTGCATTATTAGTAGAAATTGTGAAATTCTGAGCTGTGTTAATAATGTAAGAGAGGAGGAAGATGATATATATCGTACCTAGGAGCAAAATGGAAGCACTCTCCCCAACCGAACTCATAAAAGCTGGTCACTAAATCATAGTATTTATTGACCTAAAAATACAGATTAAAGTCACCATTTTTGTTAGATTCAGAAAATAGAGATGGCGAAGAAGAAAAGGAAACTGATCGCCTCTTACCATGTCCGTGTAGTTGGCTTCTCTCTCCTCCTTTTCGCCCCCATAGAAGCCATGATATTTCTCGTACCTGGTTCATCAAAAGCAAACCCTAATTAGACAACATTATCCATGCAACTTCATAAATTAAATTCGAAAACTTGGTTGGAAAAATGTCAATTATTGTAACTATAATAAGGGTATGAATTTAAACTTTTAAAGTTGTTAACTTCTAGAGAATTTTTAGTGACTCCAAAATATAAGAAGAGCTCATCTAGCTATAAGTGTAATATATATATATACACATAATATAATTTTATTATATGGTCGCCCCTATATCTTCATTTATTTATTATAGAATATATTAATTACAAAATGAATTTTCACGTTAAACAGTGGTTTAAAAAAATAATCATTGAGAGAACCAGAAATACAGAATGATAACCTAACACATCATTGTTTCTTGTTTCAATAGAAAATGTAAATAAATAAAAAGCCATAAAGTATAAATTTGTTCTGTTCTTTAAGAAACAAATAATAATAATAGTAATACTAATATTGACATTATGAAATGGCCCATCAATCAAACGCCATTAATCTTGACATATGTCTTATATTAAGCAAAATATATTCAAATTATTAACTTATTAAAACATATTAATAATGGCACCCTTCATTAATTAAACCTTTATTTTATCACATTTGTTCTCATTGAAGTGCGAAAAAATTGTAATTATAATATAAAAAAAATATTATTTGAGTAAAATTCGGAAAAAAAACAAAATACACAGATAATTTGAGTAAAATTGAAAGTTCCATCTGCACTGTTCATCCACTAAAAAGATGCAGTTGAAATAAATAAAGAAGATCTACAAAAGAAAAGGCATTACATTATTTATTATTATTTTATTTCTTTCTGAATTCCCTAATCCCTATGATCCAATTAGGTTTCAGTTTCCCCAATTTTTTAAAACAAACAGACCTAACTAAACCGGAAGAAAGAGCGCTGAAAGGCTTGGGAGAGGATGATAAACGGAGAAAGTAGCTGTAAGCTCAGAGAGAACGAAGCGAGAGAGAGAGAGAGAGAGAATACTTTTCAACGGCGCATATGACATCGGCTTTGCTCATCTTCCCGCCGACGCCTGAGGCAAGATCGAACGCTCCATCCTTCGACATCTCAAGCAGCAACCTGAAAATAAAAAAACGAGAACACAGTCAAGAAAATTGCGAGTTAGGAGTTCCGAGTTAAGAGTTTAGGGTTCCGATGAGAAGGACGAAGCACATTACGCGAAAAACACAGAGAGAGAGAGGGAAAAGAAGCGGACAAGGGTTTTGCAGAGAGCGCGGGAGAAGAAGAAGAAGAAGGACGCCGCTGAGTTGCAGAGACGAAATGGAAATAATGCTCAGTTTCTCTCTCTAAGGGATTCTGTCTTAGTGACGACTAATGAGAGAGAGATTTTTTTCTTTCTTTTTGGTATGACAGACATGCAAGAATTGACAGCCTCTCCTTTTCTATCTCCTTTTTTTGCCCTATTTATTTGATTAATTTTATTTATTTTTTAGCATTTTTTCTATTTTATATTAATTTTTTTTAAAATATATTCCAATTTAAACCCATCTTTATCAAATTTCAACATCCCTATAATCTCTTATAGAAAAAATGTTGATTAATTGATTTAGAAAAAAAAAAAAAAGTATGTTTGTCTCATTTAAGACATAAAATTAAATTAAAATTAAATTATACGAACGACAGGTTTCTGAGATCGCGACCGTAATTATAGATGGTGGACTACCTTCCAAAATATAAAATTAATTTTATTTTTTATATTTAATAAGCGTCTAATATATTCAATATTCAAAATAAAACTAATTGAGCATAAAATTAAATTACAGAAAGAGACATAAAAATATTATTAAATAAATTCAATTAAAATTAAAAGGTTGAGATGTAATTAATGGGTTTTTTTTTTTTTTTAATTTTAAGATTGAAGTGGCTACGACTGTGAATAAGAGGGGTGTTATTTAAAAATAATAATGATAATAATATACACAGCTGTCAAAATTGATTTTAAAATAGGATTAAAATGAAATTAGAAAAGAAATGGGGAATGGGAGGGGGTGATGTGGACAGGGCAGTAGGGGGTCCAACTTCTACCTTTTACTTTTTACAGTCACAGTCACATGCCAGACTGTCCAAACCAGTGTGGGACCAGTGTTTTTCATCCACTCTACTTAGTCCTACTGAATTATTTCGGTTTAATTATTCCAATATTAAATGTTAATGTGATTCAAATTCAACGCTAATTATTAATCATCATTTTTGGGTTGAATTTTCAAAATTGGTTATAAATTTCACCAAATTTTGAATTAATTCAAACCAAATATTAAGTATTATTGACTCGTGCTACTCATTTATTCATAAAAATTAAAAGAAATGGATTTTTATCTATTTCTTCCAAAAAAATACAAAGAGTTAGAGATTTGATTTGAGTATGACGGTAAAGAGACGACATCAAACCTTCTTATTGATGTGAGTTTTTGAGAAAATCAGGCTGTTATCCCTAGAGTAACTTTTATCTATTGAGCGACGGCCCTTCCACTTGGCACCGTTGGATCACTAAGGTCGACAATCTCATTATTGTATAGGCATTTTCTTGACCTAATTTGTTTCGAGGTTTCAAAACCCTAATCGTGGGCACATTCAAACGAAATTTTTAGACATTGGATGGTACGACATACAGAGTCGGACAGCCGACCAGTTAGCCTAAGGAGGCAAAAATATATGCAATGGAGTAGAGGTAGGGTAATGCCAGTTTGGTTGGAAGAGCTATAATGGTCATGTCACATGGTTGTTGGGGGCCATGTGCCACGTCTTATTCCAATTTTTCCCCCCATAAATACACAAAATAAATCACTGTTGTCCTTTGAATAAATGGAACACAGTATAAAGAAACATATAGAAAACAAATTGCATAATAAAATTGTATCTTATAACAATAAATAAAGGGCCACTTTTGCCCTAGTTTCTCATTCTGAGAGGATTGTAGCCAATTTTGTAAGAATGAGATATTTCATAATCAAGAAAGGGAGAGAATCCTTTATAGTGAATGATTGATATGCATTAACTTCAGGTTGAATTTCAGATCAATAGCTAAATTTGTTGATACATCAATGATCGAAGTTTTAGTAATAAAAGAGTTGTCATAAAAGATACCAATTGAATGCAACTCGTCTAAAAACTTGCTCGACCCTACAATATCTCGACCCCCAAAATAAGCTGTAGGATATTAAATCTAAGTGGTCGCTATTGATTGAATTCACTCCCTCTGAACTCCTTATTATACCCATGACCCTTACGACTAATCTCACGAGACAACCCACTTGACCCTTACGACTAATCTCACGAGACAACCCACTTGACCCTTACGACTAATCTCACGAGACAACCCACTTGACCCATACAACATCTAGACACCAAAAACACGAGTAAGATGTTAAATCTAAGTGGTCACCATTGATTAAATTCACTCCCTCTAAACTCCTTATTATACCCATGACCCTTACGACTAATATCACGAGATAACCCACTTGACCCTTACGACTAATATCACGAGATAACCCACTTGACCCATACAACATCTAGACACCAAAAACAGGTGTAAGATGTTAAATCTAAGTGGCCAACATTGATTCGAGTCCGCTCCCTTTAAACTCACTATTATAGGACCCTTATGGGCAATTTTTAATATATTTCAAAAGAGGAACAACAGAATTTGGGAGGTATCATAGCGGGCAGCAATATTGCTCAGATAAGAGAAAACAGAACGATAGAAAGCCATGTAAGATAAACAGCTCGTTGGCGCCTTCCTGCTGAATAAAGGAACTTCAATTGCACTTTTAAGAGGCAGCCATAGTTAAGAGGAGATGCCTGTGAAACTATAATGCCACATACCACATGCTTACAGACCCCTGCAACAAATCAGATGATAAAGTTGAAGTTAGAAAGCAGAGGGAGAATCCAAAAGCAAAAACCACACTTTTCTCGGAACAATCTTCTCGTTACATTCGTTTATTCTTTTAAGTTAATCCAAGCCGTTTTTTTCCTCGTTCAATCATGTGCATAATGAATAATTCTGTCCAAGTTTAGTCCAAATCAATTTCTTTTCTCGACTTGAGAAAATAAGCAACTACTTAATTAAAAGAAGGAGAAGTAAAACTCCAAGTAGCGCTTGAAAGATACAGCTTCTTTGAGCTAAAGATGCTAGGCAATAATATATTTTTTAAAAATATTTAAAGATACTAAATAATCCTTCTAAGATATCCTGAACAAGTCTAGAAATCCCTGGTTCTATTCTCTTTAAACTAAATAAAATTTTAGCCAGGCATGTGAGATTCTGCATAAGCATACTGATATTGGTTAGTTTCTTGTGGCAAGTTGGAGTATGAGAATTTTGTCCTTATGGCTTGAATTACTAAACACTTCTGCAATTATCCTTGATTCATATTTCTCTTGATTGCAGGTCCTTTTTGTAGTTTGCCTCCCTTTTTTTGTATGATCCTGAATTCTTTCAATTCTTCTAAATGAAAGCTGGGTTATTCATAAATTAGTTCAAATGTATTGGCTTTGTTTTCGAACTGATGATCTTAAAGGATTTGCTGGATGAAGTCTTTGATAATGTCAAGGGAGGTCGGTCATCGATAATCTTCTAAACAACTCCAAAGAACTGAATTGATAAGAACAGATAACTTGATCTTGTTCTCTTTAATGATCGCCAGTATTGCCAACTCAACAATTCCTAAAAGAATTTCAACAGAATACATGATCATGTTCGATTGTATCTTTCCTTCAGCATTTTAACTTTACTCTGAATCATAGACATTGTGCTAGCAATAGGTTGTTGATGGTTTGGGCACGAAGTCAAATTTTCTTACAGTTCTACGGGCAGAAACGTGTTGCACTTGATTGTACCAAGTACACACTTCAAGTTCTAAGCAATCGCTAGTCGCTAAAACTAGGCAAGCACATTATAAACAAAGCTAGAAGAACCATACGATCAGGCCACTATGCAGAATCCATTCGAACACTAGCAACATCGCGCAAATAGCTTATTGTTGAAGGAAAAGATTTACAAATACCTGACTTTCTTTATAAGGATGGCTTTGAGCTTGCGAGCGAGGTCCTGCGATCGAATTTTGCGCTCCAAATTCTTTCTGGCCAAAACTCGTTTCTCAGAATTCTTTATATGATGAGTCTGTTCACGCTTAATCAGCCGCTCAATTCCGCTCGATCGCATCTTCCTTTGCAAAAATGTCAGTGCCCGCTCCAAATTTCCATTCAGTACCTTCACTCTGATCCCCCTCCATTGCTGCTGCTGATAGTGAAGGTGCTGCAGGCAATTGGTGTGCAACGAAGATCTGATGGAGCAAGATAGGTTTCGCGACAACGAATTCATTACTAGAGTTCAACCACTCGGTTTGTCGTTCATACAGCAGGTGAAGTGGGCTATGTCGGCGCCGATAAGGCACAGTGAAGGACGGCGACGGTAGCTGCGGTTAGAGAGTCGAAACTTGGGATGAAGGGAAACGACGGCGAGAAAGAAAGTGATGGAGGAGATAGATTTAGGGTTTGAAATTAATTTAATAATTAAAAAAAAATTATTAACTTTCAATTTGATTACACCATTAATTAATTACATATTTTTAAATTTTGGAAACTTATTAATTAAAAAAATTAAAATAAAATTAAACAAATAAAAAAATAATTTGATTTGTGCATAATATCATAATCTACGGTCACCGACCACACGATAACTAATTTAAGTGAAGAAAAATGTTATGAACATATTATAAATAAAATAGATTTTGACACTAAGTTGCGATAAGTAAAGCCGTGACTCTCAAATGGTGTTCAACGAGTCACGTGAGGGCTAAGATAGAAGGGTGTCATGACGCGACCGTGACATGCCACATTCAAACTAGGATCATGGATACTATGAACTAATCCATAATTGCAAATGGTTCAAGAACACATCTATCCTCATCAAAGGTTTTTAATTACATTAAGCAGCCGTTGCAACGTCTACGAGTATTTTGATACCAAACCCGGGGCGCAGTAGCACCAGCCATGGAAACAATATCTCTAGTACGTAGGAACAACACGAACGTCATCGAGCACGGGGCCACAAAGGGATCCGAAGTCGTCTGTTCTGGTGTGGTAGTATGAACTGAAGAATGTGATTCTGGTTCTAGGCGAGATTGCTTTGAACTTGAGAATGGCAGTTTTGTAAAGCCCTTTTCCTTGCGATTGGAAGGGAACTTTGAGAGTGTCTTTAGCAGCAAATGCTTCCACCATCATTGATCCATGGCATCCGTTCTTGGCGTCACCGACTTTGAACGTTAACGAGTATAGCTTGTTGGGGATGGTTCTGATGATTTGAGCCACCGCGCTTTCTCTCCCTGCAACGAGCTCGACCGCTGCAAGTCCAACGGGAACGTTGAAATGCTTTGAATCAATGAACTTTACAGCCTTGAGTGACTCTATGATCCAGCCTGGGAGTGGAGATGTAAGGTCTTCTTGTCTTGGTGGAAGAAGAACTCCGTTGGTCGAGTTTACTAACCGATGAGGACCAACCTCGAAGCTCGGGTTCCTAACCAAGTTATCTGCAAGATTACCATTAACAAACATCGAGATTAAGCAGCGAACCAAATTCACAAGATCGTTATCAAATGACCCGAGTTTTTAGATCTCGAAAAGACAGACGAGCATGTTTACCTCTTGTTGGGACTGGACGAATAAGCTCTTTGATGGCAACAGCGTCCAACAGAGGTCCACAAGCGGGATCTTCCTGAACTCCGGGATTGTGGAACGTCACCTTAACGGAATCCGACGAAGCTACGAATCCAAAGGCGTAAACATCACCTCCATCGCTGCTGTAAAGAGTCTGCAGAGGCAAACTTCCATTCTGGGGAGGTACCAACACAGACAAGACTTCATCTTGTGCACATGTTCTTGAAGCTCCAAATGTTAGAGCATAAAGAGACCCTTTTTTCACTTTTATGATCTGAGAGATCGACGCTTCGTTGCCGAGCCTTACGGCATGGACGCCGTGAGCAACGGGGAAGAACATTCCTCCGGGTTGAGGGCCGCCGGAGATGTACTCAACAAAGCCATTGATCTCCCAGCTTGGTAGAGAGTCTTTGCCTACTATTACTGTTTTCTTTAAGTTAGTTTTTAATGGTGGTTCCTCAAAGTTCCCATTTGCTAGAAGTCCTGTGTGAGCAAAGAAGCAACGTTAGATATTCGATTGACATATAACAAGCCAACCACACCGCTAGCAGATATTATCTTCTTTGGGCTCTCTCTTCTGGGCTTCCCCCTCAAGGTTTTAAAACACACCCACTGGAGTGAGATTTCCACACCCTTCTCTAAAGAATGCTTCGTTCCTCTCTCCAACCGACGTGGGATCTCACAATACACCCCTTTGGGAGCCAGCATCCTCGCTGACACACCGCCCGATGTCTAGCTCTGATACCGTTTCTAACAGCCCAAGCCCACCGCTATCCGTTTTGGCCAGTTACGTATCACCGTCAACCTCACGGTTTGAAAACACGTCTGCTAGGGAGAGGTTTCCCTTCTGGATTCTACCCTTTTAAAAAATGTTTCGCTTCTCTCTCCAACCGACTTGGGATCTCACAATCCACCACCCCTGAGGGCTCAGCGTCCTCGCTAGCACACTGACCAATGTCTAGCTCTGATACCATTTGTAATAGTTCAAGCCCACCGCTAGTAGATATTGTCTGCTTTGGCTCATTACATATCACCGTCAACATCACAGTTCTAAAACACGTCTACTAGGGAGAGAGACTTCCACACCCTTATAAGGAATGCTTCTTCCCCTCTCCAACCAATGTGAGATCTTACAATCCACCCCCATTGGGAGTCCAACATTCCCACTAGCACACCGTCCGATGTCTAGCTCTGATACCATTTGTAACAATCCAAGCCAAGAAGGAAAAGCTCAAAGAGTACAATATCTGCTAGCGGTGAGCTTAGGCGGTTAGTTTCTAGCAAATGTAGACATTCTTAGCATCCCAACACCAAATACAAAGCCTCAAACTGGTTTGGAGAGTAAAACAAACTCTATAAGGAGCAGATCTAAATGGATTTCATCAGTAAAAAGTAGGAACTCAAAAAAACAGCAGGATTTCATCACTAAGTACTCATTCATTATAGCAAACCAGAAAGCTAAAACTACACATTTCTACAATAAATCCAACAAACAAGATCCAAAACAGTACCAACAACAAAAGAGAGAAGCCCACAAACAAACATCAGTTCATCATGCAGCTAAACAACAAACCCACATAAAAGATAGCCAAATTACAAAACTAAGCAAAAGGGGTTTTGAAAATAAGCATTATACCTTCCAAAATCGACCCTGCAAAGGCTGAAGAAGCCAATAGCAAGAAGAATGCTAGCAATGGCAGTGATGAACACGAAATAGAAGCCATTTTTGGGGGTTTGAGAAGGGGAAAAGGGTATGAATGGATGGGAGAGGAAGTGGGATTAAGAGATTGTATTTATAGTGAGGGAAAAATGATAAAACCACGAAGACGCGAGGAAAGAGAAGGAGATTAGTAGAGAAATCCGCGTTTAAGTGAGGTGTAACCTGAAACATTGTTTGTGTATCTGTCTGCTTATTTCCATTTGGGACCGATTTTTTCTCCATGATTCATGGCCTTCAAGTGGCAAACTTGTCATTTCACTTTCTCCTCAAAAATCGTTTTTGTTTTATTTTCTAATTTTATTTTTATTTCAATGATCGTGTAATACAGAATATCCACCCTTTAGTAAGTAATCATTGAACCATAAAAGTGTCCAGAAACACGATCAACTCAATTTATATGGTTTGAGTTCAATTATAAACTTATACGAGTGTTAAATATGTTCTTATTTTTATATCTTATTATTCGCTTCTTCCAAATATCTGTTAAAAAATCCAAATAATTGGGAGTTTTTATTTATTTATTTATTTTATTTGAAGTTTTAAATTTATTTGTAATTAATGGTTTCGGTTGAGGAAACAAGAAATAGAAATGGCTGGAATTAATTAATCGTTCTTCGATCTGATGAATTTAATTAAATAAATAAATAAATAATAATTTTTGGGCATTATTTGAATACATGTCAGATGCTGTCTCTCAATGCAATTTAATTTAATTTATGAGAAATAAAAAAAAAAATCACATTTATCTATAAATACAACGAAATTTCCTGCCCACCTCATCAACGTATTAAAATATTTATTCAGCAGTGGTTTCTAAGTCATATTATAAAAATTAAAAATATATATAAATGCAGTAAAATTATTTTAAAAAATATTATAAAACTTGTTAACTAAAAATAATTATTTCAGCCTTTAAAAAAAATTAATTATTATAAGATAAAACATTAGAGAATCTTATGGAATTTGATTCTCCCCATGTGTAGTTGGAGATCTATCTCCACTTAATTGATTGATAATTATTGTTCTTTTTTGGCATAATTTGCCTAAATATTTTAAATTAACAAACATATTGCTACGAGTGCACTTTATAGCCCATTGATATGATATTGATGGTTCGAAACTCGATCATGTCATTGTGTGAAACTAAATTTGCATTTAGTTAATGTATACCAAATGATCAATAGGCTAAACCAATTTGTTCGGGGATGAATTTCATCCACTATTAGTTTCACTTAGTCGTTAAATTGGTCCTTCTATTCGAGAAGTTGCAATGAATCGAGAAGCTTATATTTAGTCTAAAATAGTTGAAGATATGTTAGTTGTTTCCGTAAGTTTTATCGAAACAGTGGAATTCATGACTTGTCAAACCGATGATATGATTTTTATCAATCATTACCAAGCTCAATTTGAGATCTTGTGACCGAGCATAGGCATCTGTCTTCTGTGACCATAATGCCAAGAGAAATGGTCGAGAAAAAAGGTATTATTTAAGGGATACTTGAGATAACGTCAATATCGTTCGACCAAAAATGATTTTTTTTTTTTTTTTTGTCCGTTAGATCTCGAATATCAAGGGAATTATTAATAATAAAAAAATACAATTAATTATTTAAAAAATAAAAGTGTAAAGAAAGGAGCGAAAAAAAAAAAGCAATTCCATCTCATTCCCAGCATACCCCACGCGGTTTTAAAAAAATAAATTATTTTTTTATGTTTTAATTTTTTTTGTGCGTAATTAATTGGTTACAAACCATCTTATTTAAAATAAAATAAATAAATAAAAACATAAATAGGACATTAATTTGATGGGAAAATGGATAGAGGAGGGTAAAATTGGGATTTTATTCCTGGATTTTTTTAAATGTAATTATTAAATTTGAAAATCAGAATACAATATAATAATAATAATAATAATAATAATAATAATAAGTTTTAAGAATGCGTAGGATATCAAATAATTGATGCTAAGATGCGCCAGCTAAAGTGTCGCTTTACCCGGTTCAGATTCCACATGCGCATTGTCGACTTGTCGTGAGGAAAGGCTATAATTTAACGAATTGAAAATTTATTTTAATGAGAAATTAATATTTTCCTAAAATTAATAAATTAAAACTGGCACGTGGCATTATTAGAGTGAGCCGTGTGCTGGGTAGGACAACAAAGATTTTGTTTAATAAAAAAGACTAATTTAATGGTAATGGGCTGAGTGGGGGCCCATTTCCCATGTGCACTCCGGCCCACTTCCTCAATCACTTTTCTAACATTTTCTTGATTTTGACTCCTTGATTGTCAATTATTTGATTCACATTAATATTTTTTTTAATTAATATTAACATTCTATAATATTTTAGTTATGATTTTTAAAATCGTGAAACCTATCTATGAAATAGATTTGGCTATTTACCGAGCGTTAGATGCAATTGTAATACAAAAAGTTTAAATCCAATACACTGGCACAGCGACGCTATGATATATATAGCATCCTAAAGTAACTTTGAGATGCAGACTTGCTATGGCAAAATTGATTTCAATTGATTAGATTAGGGGTATCAGTTGGAGTAACAAAGTAAATATTTCAATCGAGCCAAATAAGAATAAGAGCTCAAACTGACGGATGTTAGGATGTTATTGAAGTATGCTTAAAACGGTGATAGTAACAAAATATATATATATATATATATATATATATATTTTGGAATATCAAAGTTATAATTATTTTTAAAGATATTTATTCTTTATTTTTTAAATAAATCATGCTACAATGATTGCTCTAAAATTGACCATCGAAAATTAATTTGTTTGTGATTAGAGACATTTTGAACTTAAAATTGATATAAGTAGACAAATACTCACTTTTCGATGTCGGATAGACGTATTAGCCACCTATTTCATTCTATATTATCTTGAAATTCTTCGTTTAATTATGTGAGGACCAAATTATTCATTTATTTTTGCTAGCACTAAGTTATATTGGGATAATTTTTTTCAATTTGTTGTTGTTTTAAAAAATAGTTATTTTAAAGTTTTCATTTTTATTATTACCTAGTTACTGATTGTAATTGTTTTAATAAATTAATATATTTTACGGATTGTAATTGTTTTAATAAATTAATATATTTCCAGAACAAAGATAAAAATTTAAATTTTAATTAAAAAAATGTATAACTTTATCTCAAAACTAATTAATTTTTTTTTTTTTTAACATAGCAAAAAGTATATATATATATTTTAAAAATATATTTATATTAGTGATTTTAGTAATTTTGATTTTTATCCATCCCTAAACATTAAATAAACTGATAGAGTAAATGACATAAATTAATTATATTAAAGGTTTCTATTATATTTTTTAAAATATAAAAAATTAAATAAAACCAGGATGACTCGGTTTCATCGGAACCCGAGCCAGTCAGGCCCAAACCCGGGTCGCAGCAGAGCTAGCCGTTGGCGTTGTTGTAAAAGAAGCCGCCCAAATTCAAATTCAAATTCAAATTCTTGAATCAATCCCTAATTTCTATAAATCCCCAATTTCTTTCTCTTTCATCACCTAGAATCTTTCAGACACCATCTCTGTGTCTTTTCTCTCTCTCTCAAGAACGAGTTTTTCGATCACCATGGCCGTGGAGAAGAAGCGCCCATTGCAGAACAGCAACGCCGCCAATGTCGACTCCGATCCGGCGGGGCCAAAGAAAACAATCGAAGAAATGTACCAGAAGAAGACTCAGCTAGAGCACATCCTCCTCAGACCCGATACCTATGTCGGATCAATCGAAAAGCACACCCAGAACCTCTGGGTTTACGAGAACGACAAGATGGTCCACCGATCCGTCACATATGTGCCTGGTCTTTACAAGATCTTTGATGAAATTTTGGTCAATGCTGCAGATAATAAGCAGAGAGACCCCTCGATGGACTCGCTCAAGGTTGTAATTGACGCTGAGCAGAATTTTATCAGTGTGTTCAACAATGGAGATGGAGTTCCGGTTGAAGTTCATCAGGAAGAGAAGGTTTATGTGCCTGAGTTGATCTTCGGACATCTGTTGACTAGTAGTAACTATGATGATACTGAGAAGAAAACCACTGGTGGACGCAACGGCTACGGTGCGAAACTTACGAATATTTTTTCTACTGAATTTGTGATCGAGACGGCAGATGGAAGACGTCTGAAGAAGTATAAGCAGGTACGATTTCTGCATCCTTCATGAAGGATAAATCGTGTTTTTTTTTCTTTTTCGACTTAATTTTGCGGGTTTTGTGATTTGACTTTGATCCGATGGTGTGGGCTCTATTATTTGTGCATTGGAATTCTGCAATGTCGTCATGAACTAAGATGTCATAAACGTCTCTATTTATTTTCAATTTTGTTTGCAGTTATCCTGTTTAGGTATTGATCTCATGCTTGATTCATAGGTTTTGATTCTCTTAGTGCGTTTCTGGAATTCTGCATGTCTTTTAGCTTCGAGGTTCTTTCAAATTTGTGCTTCAAGAACTATAAGATGCTATATATGTATTTATTTTGTAAATTATGTTTGCATTCATCTTAGAATCTTGGTTCATACTCTTTCCCTGAGCCTCATTTTTAAAAGTACTCTTTGGATATCATTTCCCTCCTTGAATTTTACTTCCTGTAACTTAAATAAGATTTTCTTAGTTCTTTGAGGTTAGGTTTCGTTGAAGTAGTATAATCATCTGAGCTTCTTTTAGCAAGTGCTGGAAATAAACCAATATGCTTATTTTGAACATGGAAGGTATTCTCTGATAACATGGGGAAAAAATCTGAGCCGATCATAACAAAGTGCAAGGAGGGTGATAATTGGACCAAGGTGACTTTTAAGCCAGACTTGGCTAAGTTCAACATGACTCATCTTGAAGATGACGTTGTTGCACTGATGAAAAAGAGAGTGCTGGATTTGGCCGGATGCCTCGGTAAAACCGTGAAAGTTGAGCTAAATGGACAAAGGGTCCCTGTTAAATCGTTTCAAGATTATGTAGATTTCTATCTCAAATCGGCAGCCGCATTCCAGACGGAACCTCCAAAAAGGTAGACTTCTGTTTGCAAAATTTGAAGTTTATATTATATTCTACGGATTTG